AGTTCACTAGTAGCACCAGCTCAATACAGTTTTCTAACGCTAGCAAGTGTTTGCACAAGACAAGGTCAACAACGCGTTCTCCATGAGCTGTACAAATGCTGCTTCCAAGTTTTAAGAGAAGTTAAAAATTCAGGAAATTTTTAAGATTTATTGCTGTTAAATCCACAGTCTGATGTTTTATTTGTTCGCTGCCCATCACACTCAATAAAAACTGGTTCCAAAATGAAATTTGGAGGGTAAATAATATTTTTCCTTTCACGGTGTACTTTACTTCTCCCACTTCCTTAACACAAAATAGTCAGAAGTCAAGTGTTTATGAGACTTTTCTATTTTGAAAGTATCACAGTTTTCATTTCTTCTTAGTTTCTTTTCAAATTACGGTTTCTTAAAATACTCATTTCCCAAACAATAATGACTGTAAAACTGGCTGGAATGAGAGATGAACTTACCTTTTTCATTCTATAAAGAAACTTGAAGTAAAGACAGTAGCATGCAACATACAGTTAAAGTATAATTCTAAATGGCAGTGTAGCCTCTGAGAAAAACTGACCTTAGCAAATCCCCTTTAGTTTTATGACTAATCTAAAATATGCTGCTATAACTCTCACAGATACTATGTAGACAGGAACAAAGAAAAAAAAATATACAGAATCTCATAGATAAGGAGATTTCTTCTGGTTATACCCAGAAGAAAAAGATGAATGTGAAAAGTAGATGCTGTAAAATGACTTTTTTGACAAGGACAGGTTACAACTGAAGTTGCCATGATTGTATCACACCAGATATTGCAAGACAGATTGCCCTGTTTTAATGTCCTGGAGCAAGAGATTTTTATGATCTGTTTCTCCTTCTGAAACAGGCTTCAAAAACCTGCTTAAAAAATGCGAATAAACGGCTTAATGCACTGAGAGCAAGAAATACCATGGTTTCAAGTGACATGTCAATAGTGTACACAATTCAAATTAAAATCTATACTTCAACTCAGAACAGCTATGCATTGGAATAGGGTTTGCAGTAGACAACCTCTAGCAATAGAAATACAATCATCTGAGAAGGAAAAGCCCTCCTGTTTTTCAGTTCCTGTTCTGAATAGCACAACATTTTCTGTGATCTAAAAGCAGCCTTGGAGCAGTCACCGTGAACCAGGAGGATCTTTTATCGTTCATGCTATACACATGCAACCCTATGATTTCTATCATGATCTCATGAAAATGTGTGCAAAAATGAAGAGTTGGTAAGAAGCCCAATTTCTGCAGCAATGACCATCTTCTGTTGCCAAATAAAAAGGATCTGATCCCTAATTGCTCCAATACTACATTTTCAAGTTAGAAATGCTTTCATACAAAAGATAATAATTTGTAATTAACAGAATCTTCCTTTTCTATTTAAAATAATTTTCCCAAAAGCAGCAAACTAAAGTAAAACATACGACTGTAAAGAGACAGCCAAATCACCAAATAACACAAAATGGCAAAGTCTTCTGCTTTACAGTGAAAAGTGCAGAAAAGAAGTATTTTAACGTGTTTTAATCAAAAGCTTCAGGTTTTACATGGATGTTTCTAAATATCTCCATGGGCATCGCACTTCCCCACCTTCCTGGGGCAAATGGGCTCAAGAGCGAGAGCATGTTTCCCATCATGTGCTGGGACCCCAGAACTGCCACCACAGATGGCACCTTCTCCAAAGCAGTAATTCTGGTGCCTTGTGGGAAGTGCAGTCGACCACAATGCTACACCCAGGAAACATGGTGCAGCATTTCTAAGTGACAGTTTTTAAGTTCCAAGTTAACATTTCTCATCAGTTCCATAAGCCATGAGGAACATAAACACGGCCTTCTGAACCTTTATATACAGGAGGGCTACAGCCAGCGGCAGGCAAACAACCATGAAGAAGCACCAGTTATCCTTTCCTAAGCACAACTGCTGTGTGCATGGTCATCAGTCAAGCACAAGGCTGCCTCATCCCAAGTTCCCATGCAACAAGTAGTCCACTATCACATGCCAGACTATTAAAAACAAAAGCCATTTTCATTTAGATCTGAAGAGATCTCAGGCCCTACACAAGTAGGGCTGCCACAGTTTTTTGCAGGGTTGCGGTCTCCAGCTGAGCCAGGAGTTTTTTGGTAACACATGTCTAGGCAATGGTGCAAGAAGCAGGGATTAGCCCACACCCTTGGGAAAGACAGTACCAGTTCCAAATGGCATGGTGGTGCACTGGTACTAGTCTGCTGCAGATGGACCAGGTCTGTGTTAGCGCAGTCCAACAGGAACAGACATACAGCGCAAAACATTTAAGCATGGAAGACACTATCTGTGTTTTACAGGGTTTTAGTTCAGGCTAGTTCTGGTCTGGTCCCACAGACTGAATTTCCAGCAATGACTCAAGCACATCTTCTAGTTTAGATTCATCCTAAAGGAATCCAGCTGGCCCACCATGAGGTATATGAAGATGGACAGTAAGTGGGAACAACTGGAGGACTGGCGTCAAAAGTACACTCCTGACACGAACCACAACACTAATATAAATGCACAACCACACCCATAAGCGTCAGCAAGAGCAAAGTGAAAGACCTTTTCGTGCTGCTCTTGAAAAGACTCTTCGGATGTCTCTAAATCTGCATAGTGCCTTGAACTGCTCATCGAAACCATTCTAACGCAAGAATCAGAAACTGGTAAATGCCAATTTACCCGTTCCAAAATAGAATTTATCAGTTTCTGATGTTTAAGTTCAAATTATTTCAATGTGAATTTAGTAGTAGTGTATAGAACTATGAAACTGAGAAGCTGGAATTTACCAGTTACCAAATTTATCAAGCAAAACTACAGCAGGAATAAACTACTTATTACAAAAGAGAGGATCTGGATATACACGATTTACACTTCTCACAAGCATTGACAAATGGTGACTGAAACCAAGCATTTTCCAATATATCAATATAGTTTAGGTGGCAATTCAGTTATTAGTTTTTTAACCATAGCTACTGCCATGGAAAAAAAAAAAACAAAATCTGCAGAGTTTAATTCTTCAACTTCTCATACCTTTGCTCTATTCCACACTGAAAGTTATGTTTCACGACAGCACAATCTATTTGAAAGACAAACAGAAAGCAAACAGGTTAGCTAACCCAATCAGCTCAAAATCTAGAGTTAATGGCATTTATTTTTGTGGCACCCTTTTAGAGGTCTCACTGATGCTTTTCACTGTCACATCTTTCACTTACTTATCATGCTGCAATGGAAGGCTGAGCAAATCTCGCTGCTACCAGATGCACTTCCTCCCCATGCAAAAGAGCTCTGCATGAACAGCTGGCTGCAAGAGAGGCAAGAAGGCAAAATTCTACCTGCTATGTTTCTCATGCATCCTACAGCAGTGATTTAGGAAATCAGGCCGCCTTCTTTAGCTGCAGGGTAATTACAGACAAATGTTTAGAGTTTAGGACTTCACTGCGCATCTGGGATGATGGCAGTTCATGAGGACCACGCAACAAAAGTAAGAGAGAGGGGTCCCTTGCTCGGAGCCTGAATACCAAGACAGAACCCTCAGTCCTGGCTCTCAGTAATAAGCAGATTGTTGTTCCTTACTTCAGTTATTTTCTCAGGGCATTTCTTTAAAATCCTGGGGTATTATTTTTCTTTACCTTTTGGAAAGAAATGAGGGAAGGCCAGCCTAAGAACTAAGCATCAAGTTTAGCAAGTGAAACATCTGCATCCAGATATATCAGGTATTCTAAGCAAATATTTCAGGCGGTGTGTACTTTTGGAGTTCAAGCAACAAACTAATCCCCCAAGGGAATACAGTATCTGTTTCGTATTGGCACCTGTGGGAAGACAAGACTGACGTGATGTTGATTTCTCCTTGGTTTAAGCAAGAAACAGCCTTGAAGTGGCCTGATAAGCAGCTTGCTAACTGGGACTCTGCACAGACATTGCTTGCACCTGCTGCTTCGTGAATCTTGGGGGAACTTAACCTGAGACATTTCCTTCGGGAATCTCAGTCACGGTCATTTGTCAGGCTGAAGTTCACCTGACTGCTCACTGAGCTTTCATTCTGTTTATTTCTCCTCTTTCGGAGAAATAGGAGGTTTAACTTGGTATGAGCTGCTAATTTTGCCCTCAAAACTCCACCAAAAGTTATATAACCACTTTCACAATAGCATGCTAAAAATAAGAGTTGTTCAGTCAAATGCCACTGCAATTTTTTATAAGACCTGCGACTCCAATTCTGCAAGACCTGTGAGAGTGCAAACATTTCCTTAGCTTCAGCAGTCAAGCAGGAGCCCCTTGTGAGGCAGACATGGGTTTGTATTATTATAATCCTCATTTGCAAGGGGAAAAAAAACCCACATCAAAACAACACAGTGCATCTATACACAATATAGATATTTCCAAATCATGACTTAAAGTAACGCTATTCGCTTTTGGAGCTGATCCCTTGCGGGGTTTCATAATCGCAAACCATCATTAACCCAAAGCAAAGAAAGAAAGGTACAAAGGGGCACAGGTTTCAAGCACGACGTGATTTTTCACCCGTTTTATTTTCCTCTTTACTTGGGAGGCAGCGCGGAGGCGCGACGCTTCAGACCCAGAGGGACTTGGCCATTCAGGTAACTTCGAGAGCGCTCAGGGCAGCGCACTGACACGCAGTCGCCGCTGCAGCTGGCGCTCGTTAATTCAGCTACGCGCCCCTGCGGCGACCCCACGGGCGGCAGCGCGGGCGCGGAAGGCGCTGTGCCCAGTGGAGACGTCCGGAGGCCACAGCCCGCCCTGGGCCCGCGGAGCTCCCGCGGGGCCAGGCAGGCGCGACGGGCGAGGATCCGCTGGGCGGCCCCGCGCTGTCAGTCGCCACCGCGCCCGCGGGCCCTGCGCGCCACCCCGCACCGCTGCCTCGCTGAGGGGCCGTAGTGTAAGAGGGCAGGGAAGGAGAAGGAGGAGGGGAGCAAGGCGGCCGCCGGAGAAGCGGGGCCGGAGCAGGCGGCCGAGCGCCCCCCGGCCGCCCCATACCTGCACAGAGGCGGGGAAGGGTCTGCAGCGCGCGCCGTCCTGCCAGCTATAGATCCCAAGGGGTGATGAAGCGGGGTGGCGGTCGTCGTCCTCTCGTGCTGCCGCGGGTGCCGCTTGTGCCGGTGGCGGTGGTGCGAAGCCCTCGCTGGCTGCAGATGCCCATAGGCGCGCAGTGGCGGAGAGCGGTGCGTGGCGAGAGCGCGGCGGCTTCGCCGGGTCCCGGCGGTGGAAGGGAGCTCGGCACTGGCTCCGCTCAGCCGCTGCCCGGGGAGAGGATCAAGCCCCAGCTTTCGATTGGCTCCGGTGGCCAAACAGCTCACACCAGCTTGCCCGCCCGCTGCCCGCCTCCCCTCCGCCGCCCCACACGCTCCGCTCCCCCGCGGCTCCGCTCCTCCCTGCCAGTCTCCAGCAACCTGGTGGGCAGACCTAACCCCCTTTGGTTCCCCCCCCACCCCTTCCCGAAGACGATGTCCAATCCCCAGCCTTGTGTTTATGCAGGGACATTCTCGCCCTGGATCTGACAAAACACCCTCCTTCCCTTCGCATCTTCCTCCTTTGGCTTGAAGGACCTGCAACTTTAAGTGTTCATGACATTTTGTGTCATGCTCAATATTCGGAAACGTTTGTTCTCTGAATATTTTTTAAAATATCCTTAGCTAGTAAAATTGAAAGCATGCAGTGCTTGATCACCTAAGGGCTAAATGTGAGGTAGGACAAAACATTCTTGGCCTGAGTTGAGTTTGCCTTTCTTACACTGTTTGGGTTCCCAGCCCTGTCTTGGTTAACTACACATCAAATCATGGCATGCACAGAAAATAAAATCAGGATGCTAAGCCTTCCCTTCCTGACTCTAGGGTTATTCCATAACTGCAGCTGTGATTGGCATTCCTTGGTGCATCTTTGATGTTGGTATACTTTTTGCTCAGGATGACTTCAGTGGCCTGTGGAGAAGGATTCTGCTTCCTGCAGACATGCTGTAGTCTTAAGTCAAATCTTAGACCTGTCTTCTGGGCAAAAGGGCAATCCTTTGGTTTCAGTATGACCCTCTGTTTAAACAAGAATACAGTTGAACCAGATAAATAGGCCCTTTGGGTTTTCTCAGCTCAGGAAGATGTTGTAATGATTCCAGTAAACACGTTGGCAAAAATGTGTATTAAAATTAGGGAGAACAAAATGATCAGTTATAACAGATGCACTCTTAATTAATGCAGTGACCTGCATTTAACTGATGCTGTTACTGATGTGTTGAGCAGTGTGTTGGTACATCCCTTAAAAGTCAACATTTACCCAAATTTGGCAGACTGTAGCTGTTGAAACAGAAAGAAGTTGCAGAGATACCCTTGCATGACAGCAGCATGTACTTTTTTAAATGACAACCTCCATCACATTTTAAATTGATTCTGTATTTAATTAAATTTCTTACCCCAAATTGTATTCTATTTTTCACACTCTGGAAAGCATGCATACTTCTGTCTCTTTGGGGGATACAGAACTAGTTAAAAAAGGGGGGGGGGGGGGGGGGGTAGGGGGGGTGTTCTTGGTGTTTTGGTTTTTGTGTGTGTGTGTGTTTTGTTGTTGTTGTTCTTGTTTGGGCAAAAATCAGAAAAATAGAAATATAAATACTGAGAAACATATAAAACCAGACATACTTAGAAATATCCATACTTGGAGTATAATCCATCCCTCATTTTAAAAGCTCTATTAGCAAAAACATCCCTCAGTGACTTCAGGGGAGCTACATCTCTGGAACACAAAAGTAACCAAAGAAATCCTGTTTCTTTTTAATTATATATTTTTCTTTCACATATTGCCTGTTTAGTTTTCCCTGGGAGAAATGAAATTACTAATTTAGAGGTCAAGCTACATTTCTAGCTGTGGCCCAATAAGCTCAGTGGCCACTGCATCTTCATCACCCCCAACACCTCGACAGCAGGTGTATTATTTCTTCCTGCACACTCCAAACCAGATGACTGGCTGATTATCTTTCAGGATTTCCTAAGTCAGAAGGTGGTGCTTTCCTTCACCCTGACTTTTTCCTTGGACGAATGCTTTCTCTTGAATCGTATTCCACTTTCAAGCCCTTTTTCAGGCTCCCATTTTTGTCCCCAGGCAGACAGATAGCTGTGTTGAAGGAAGGGGTCTGGCCCTCCAGCTGTGCAGTTGTTGAAGCAAACACCATGGCAGGCTGTTCCCATAGGCTTTCTTCCAGCCACTGGTTTTCAACCACATTACCTTGTTATCTCTACACGAGTTTGATATCCTGCTTTGTGTTATTTCAGAGGAAAACTCTGAAGTCTCTACAGAAGTTTTCCTGTAATAAATTCTTTGTGTTCCTCCTTATAACACAAGAACTCTCTGGTACAGATGACTTGGGACTTTACAAGATTTTGTACTTCCAGAGTTGCTGCTTCCCATTAGCCATTCTCAACACTGTTTCCTTCTGCGTTAGTTTGGATTCCTTTACAGCACTGATAAGTTCCCCTCTAGTCTTGTTCAATTTAATAGCTTTTAACCTGTCTGTTTTATTTATGTCTGCTTAAGTGCTTATTTAATCTTTTCCCTTATAACTATAATGACCTTCCACAGGTTGCTATAATCCTAGAAGGTATGTGGGGAATTTAAAGATTTAAAAGTCGTTTGACTTCATAAATAATTTTTATTTTCTCATTACACACCTTGTTTTAAAACAGGAATGTTACATTTTCTTTTTGATCAATGTTTTTTTCATGCATATTGTTTTCACATATCTAGTAGTAAGGATAACAGACATTTTGGATTCAAAACAACTTTATATATATATATATATATATATATATATACACAATTTGGTTCATGAGAACAGCAAAGGATGTTGATCTGACATAGAAAATACATAGCATTCTTTGCTCTGGTCTACAACCAGAATTTTATTCCATTAACAATACTTCAGTTAGGTGTTCAGGTTTTGTTTACATTTTTAAAACTGAAATAGTTATATGCTACAGATAGCAGTTACCCAGCAATGTCAGTGTAAAGCATGTTCATATTGATATTACTGCCTCTTTCCTCCAGCGTGAGTGCCTGACTTCTATTGTGTGCTCTACTTACACAGACTAACCTTTTAACATCCCTTGGCAATTACAGAGCCATTAATTCAGCAAGCTGTTGAAGCATATACCTACTTTTAATCTACAGATTTCACAATACATTCTACTGATGTGGCCACACTTCAGGAATGACTGTAATCCATGCCTTTTGTCTCACACTGAGACAAAACACAAACAACTGGTGCCCATCTCCTTCACAGCAAGGACCACATCTTTGTCACCGCTGTTACAGAAAATCTGTTCTGCTTTGGAGCCCTGAATGCAGAGCTTGTCTTGATCTGTGAACACATCTGGCAGGAGTGCCTGGAGTGCGTGAAGGGCTGCAGCACAGCCCCAGAGCCAAAGGAGGCCTGAGAGATGGAGCAGCCCATCATATACCCCAGTCTCATTCTTGTCCCAAGACATGATCCACAGAGGATGGAAAAGAAGAAACCTGAGAGATCTGGTGATTCCATTATACAATTTTTCCCTGATTGTGAATTGACTTATCTACACTGAATGAACAAACTGATCATTTGCTAGGTTAGGCATGTATGCTCCCCCCCTCAGGCCCTAAGCAGCCAAGCTCTGTAGCTAGGAGCTGGGCTCAGTACTCTCCTAGGCAATTGATGTCCTGAGAAGCCTGACTGAGTGCTGGCATATGTTTCTGATTCAGGCACAAGGAGTAATAAATGCTTTCAAACTGCCCACAAACTGCTTTCACTGCCTTACATCCCCTTTGGTTCTGCATGGCTCCTGCCTCTTGGCTAACTTCTATCTTGTTCCAGTCCTAACTCATCTTTATCCAAGACTTTTAGTACAAGCTCTTTGATTTCCTGACGTTGCTCTTGATTTGCTCTTGAGTTTTGGGTAGCCTTGATTTCTGTTTTTCTGAGCATACTTTCCATATGGAGCCTTGGGCTGGTCTGTCCTTGGTGACTGACTCCTGGTCTTGAGTTTCCTCAGTTTCAGTGTCTGGAGCCACCCCAGCTATAGTCACTTTGTCCAAGTATTCCACTTGTGACTCCTTAGTAACTCCCATTCAAAGCCACCTTGCTGAATGGGAGTTATAAAATGTGATATCCCACTGCTGACGCAGAGCATTTGGCACATAGCTAATCTGTGTGATAATTCAGCCGCCTGTGGAATAGGTTGTAGCAGCAATATTGGGTCGTGGCTTAGGAGAAGCTGAGAGAATGCAGGAGAATGTCGTGTTCCCTTAAGATTAATCACACTTGTCAAGATCTTCAACAGCTCATAGTGTTTTCATAGACAGTTAGGCACCTAAATGCCTTTGGACATAGTGCACCTGTTTTTTAATTTGGAGTTCTTTCTAACATTGTGGATTCAAGCCAGAAAAGCACTCTAAGCAGCAGTAATTTGGATCCTGTTTTTTTCAGTACTTTGCTGTGCAAAACAACTCTAAAATATGTCTCTACCAGAGACAGGGCAACATCCCATCCCAGGACATGAGTCAATACTTCATCAAACTCCAAAGAATGATCTTCGTTAACATGGATAAAACTATTCCTGTCAAAAAGGTCGTCTTTGTATTTCACAGCAGACATGGATGAAAATTCCTCAATCTTGCCTGATTCTGACTTCAAACATGAATTACTGTGTGCTCCTTAGAAGGAAAAAAGAGTGCTAGCACCTTTCTCAACCTTTACCTTCTTTCATTTCATTCCCAGTAAAATTTAATTTGAGCCAAGCTCTATTCAGATGCCCTGAGCCCATCTGTATGCTTCAGGGACTTGGGCTTTAGGTATTTGAAAGTTGCCTCTCATTTGTGTGTTTTCTTGGAGGAGGAAATGATTGCTTTTCACACATCTACCTTTGAAAGCTCTCCAGAAGGCTCACAAATTCAGTTTAACAGATTAAAAACAGGAGTCCACACAGAGCCTGACATAAACTTCTCCTTAACTGGATATTTTTTTTCCAGCCTAAGGATGATGCTCACTTTGCCTGATGAAAGCTTAATGATACATGCTGCCATAGTGTTTTTGAGGAGAGCATAGTAAGAAAAGCGGTAACTAGTGAAGAACAGAAAAAAGCAGAGGGAAGGTGGATGTGAGATGTTAATGCAGTCATTCCCTTTTAAGACAGAATGAGTCTGTAGATATTCAGTGTCCCTTTTTCAGAACATGGTAGCCCAAAGTGTGCTTCTCAACACTATTTTGGAAGCTGTAGTTCATTATGTCGTGAACCCTTTACAAAACCCTTGAACTCTCAAAAACAGTTTGGGGAACCTGAGCTACACAGAACCCTTTGAAAATTGCTCATCTAGAGTGAAAGCAGTGATCTCATATGACAAAGCATGACAT